ATCCGAACTCGTCTCGTGCCTTCACTCGTGCCAGAATAATTCAAGACTAACGGAGATGCTGGGATGGACACGCAATGCGGGAGAGCCTAGAAGGCTTTCTGCTGGCAGAGACATCTTAATGGCAGCGCGTACAAGGTTTTGTTGTCTCTCGTTTGTTGGTCATTTACGAGCAAGGCCATTGCAATCAGTTGGTAAGTTTTCATAAAGCGCTTAGATTGATTAAATGATGACACTGCAAGCGCAAAATGTTATTTTACTGTTCAAAACCTCTGCCACCGTAAGTGCAATCTTGATGGAGCTTTTGGGGCGTCACAGGCAGAAACGACAACTCATGTAAGCGCTCCCGGACAAGCGAATAGCGCAAAGCCGCGGGAGGACCCCCACCCTTTCCCCCTCCCCAGCCTCCACACCACTTGGGTGGCAGAGCGCTTTGTTTCCAGCGCGAAAATAACGCCTGCTTTCGTGGGGTTTATCTGCGCTTTGCCAAGACGCGTGACAAATTTGTACTAAATCAGAACCTCAAATGATGCCAGCACATAAAAAGAGGAAAGCTATTGCATAATACGGGAAAATGAGATAAAAATCCTTCATACGGCACAGTTACTTCAGAAGCAAGAATAAACAATATTTAAAAATGTATAAACACAGATGGCATATTTTCCTTAAAAAAAATGTTTCGAGAAAAATAAAAGCCTCTTAAAAAGGAATAAAATATGAAAAGGAGGAGAAGTAGGTCAGAAAGAAGAAGTCAAGGGAAGGGGGGAAAACTAACAAAATGGAAATCAAAGATAAGGCAGATTCCATCGTGGCGTGGGCCCAGGCAGCTTTCTGCGAGCATCTGCTGGGGCGATGGGGAACCGCAGGTCCTCGGGTCTGATCCAGCGCTGTGCCAGGGTCCCGGCGGGTGGCGAGCCGGCAGCGCCGCGGGTGATGCACCTTGGGCATCTCTACGGCCACTGGCTACGACAAATAATCCCAGGCAGTGTACGAGGGCCAGGGGCAAAGGCGAAGCAGAAGGTGAAGATGCCCCTTGGAATTGCCCTGCCGGACGGGGGTCCGAGCCTGCCTGCAGGTACCAGTGCACAGTAAATAAAGAAACTGTGTTTAAATTGCCTACTTACCCAGGAATCGGTGACAAAGGAGAGAGATGTTTGAAAGACTAATTTATTTGCACCATTAACTGTTTTAACAGCCTCTCTCCAATAACAATTGTTCCCACGGTTAGAAGAGCAGGTGTTCAAATAATAAGAGTGATTGAGAAGCCTTGGATGGTCATTATTATTAATACCCGTAATAAAAAAGAACCAGGGAGACATACACCCCGCCTGCTCTTTCATACCCTTTCGGTTTATGGACCAGTAGCTCTTTCTCTGGGACGGCTCGTGGGAGGTTGGGCAGTAGCAGCGGCCGAGAGGCCGGCTGGGAAGGGACGGTGTTAAAAGCATCGCAGCGACTGGACTGTACCGGCAGGGCGGAGGGAAGCCCGTTTCCAAGGCTGGCAGAGGTTTCGGGTGGTAGTGAGAGGCACGGAGGACTAGCTCTCCTCCGCCAGCCCTCGTCAGGCAGGGCAGAGACGCTGCTCCCGGCCTGGGGTGCCGCAGGAACGAGCTGCGGACACGGGGAGACCGGCAGAACGAGCTGTGGACACGGGGAGACCGGCAGCACGGGGTCCTCCAGTGCGTTCAGAGCTTGGAAGCGTTTCGTTGTCGAAATCCTACTGAGGACAAATACTGATTTCCAGTACTACCTGGCTGCCAGGTCCTGCTCCTCCGTCGTGGGCTGGCTCCCAGAGCCAGCAGCACATCTCCCGGTAACCGGCTCGGTCCTGGTGCAAAATGACTCTCCGGGCAAGAGCGAACGCTATCGATTGTGGATTTCAAAGGCCTTTCATGCTGCTTATTGAAGGCGTTTTGGTTTTGAACGGTAGCTCCAGGTTACATTTTTCTCGGTTGAAGCTGGCAGCAGCAGCAGCCGCCCCGCAAAGCTGGGGAGGCGTTGGATATCAGGAGAGACCTTTCTCTTCTCTGGGAACCAGCGTTTGCTGGGGCTGCTCGGCTCCAGGAGCCAGACTGGAGTCCCTGCAGGAAAAATGGCAGAAAGAGTTAGTTTTGGGGTGGTGTGGTTTTGTTTTTTTTCTTTTATGAGCTGAGCAAATACGTCAGGGGAGGAAAAAGCGGGGAAGGGAAAACTCAGGTAAATCATCAAATGTCCGATGTCGAAAAATTGCAAAGTGTAGCTGTCCGGTCCTCTGTTGTTGACGCTGCAAATTGAGGTTTCCCCGCCTTTGGTCTGATCTGCACCAGGACTTTTTTTCACATACGGATAAGCCCCTCGCCTGCCATCGGTCCTCTACCCCTCGTGCTCACCCGCTCCTTGCATCCCGACGTGGGGTGGGAGAAGGAGTGCCACGCAGGATGCTTCTGCGGCCCCCACGTTTTCAGGGGTGGAGGTTTGCCCAGCCGTGCCCATTTGGGGGGCAAGGGGTCCGGTGGAGCCCCTCTGGTGGCTCAGGAAGGCTTTTGGGAGCAGGTCCACACCTCGGACCCCGATGGAGAGAGCTGAACCTGCGAGAACCACCAATGAGCAAGAGCTGCCGTAATGTTAACGAGTCCAGAATAGGCATGGGTGGGGAATCGGCAGGGAGTCATATCGAACTAAAACGCAGAGTACGTCTCAGTGGCAATCTCATGGCTTTGCCACCTGCATGGGAGATAAGGTGCTGGTGTCGTTACAAGTAGGTCTGCAATGCGTGAAAGGGCGTTTTTCTATTCAGACGGCTCAAGGCGCCCTCACGAAAGGCCCATACGTAAGACATACGCTGCTTACGTGGTCCGAGTAGGAAAGCCACAGGTTGTCATTCCGCAAGGGGAGACAAACGCGCTAACCTTTCCCCCTCGTGCTCTTTTGGCAGCAGCGTGTTGGCGCCTGCTGTTGCATGAGGGCAGGCTGCGGGAGGGAACCAGAGGTTTCCTCTGAAAATCAGCTCCCCAAAAGCAACATCGGGCTACGAGCTTCTGTCTGTCCACCGTGCCTTTAGCTAAAACTTACTCAGTTTATGAGGTGCAGGGTGGTTTTTTTATGGCTGGACCCGCAAGCTGACTCTAGGATTCACAAGACTTGCTCGCCTATCGCTGGTGCTGATGATTCTTCGGTGAGAATTTAGCTGGCAGCTTTGGTGACGTGAGAGGCTGCAGTGACATCGGTGACAGGAGTACAAACCTGCTTGTGTCCCACCGGGGATGGGTCGCAACCTGCACGGCCCCTCTGGAGCCTGTCATCACGTACATAGTAACGTTAGTAATATGTGACAAAACTTCCAAATTCAAACCTTTGCTGTTTTAACACCCCAGAAGCGGAGGGACTAGCTGCATCTCTTTCGTTGCAAACCGTTGTTGATGAATTAACGTAGAACAGGCGACTTGTTTTTTTAATGTGGCCAAGTAAAAGTGGCAAGATGCATTCATTTGGAAAGCAAATTGGTTCTGCTGGCCTGCTCGCATTGCCCTACCGCCTAATGCTGTAAGGCGTTCTACTGCGGGTGCTCCTCCCCGTCAATCAAAGCGTGAACCCATTGCCACGGGCTCCGTCCTAAAACACCAAACGCACCAAAAGGTTCAACGCGCACGTAGATGCTCCCATTAAATCGTCGTGACTCCTCGTGCACTTCAAGCAAAGCTTGCACAGCATTTAGAGAGCTTTTAGCCTATTTGCTCACACAGCTGAGGGAGCAATGGAAATATTAGGCACCGTCAATGGAACCAAAAAGGGGGAAAAATTAGGACATTTTGCGGGGGGGGGGGGGGATTTGTCCAACGTCCTTGAGCAATTACCGTTAAGAAAGGACGCCCAGCCACGTTTTGACCTTCCTTCCAACAGAGCTCACAGAGATGCTGTCAGTGCTTTCAGCCACGTCGGAGGAAAACCCCTGGCTGAAAGGCTGCAGCCTTCCCTAGCTGGTCTGACTTACCCTCCT